GAGGAGAAAGGAGATGAGGAGTAGTAGCAATGGGAGGGACGACAGCTAAGAGGTAGGGAGTAAGTGCGCGGCGGCAACATCGGCATAACGAGAATCAATCAAAGATGACAGTGGCGTGGATGACAAATGAGAAGCCGCGAGTGCTGGTGAGGTAACGTCAGAGGTAGGAGAGGGAAGGAGAGGCTGGGCCAGGTGGGCAGGATATGCCAGAGGTGGGAGGCCGGTGTGTGCATCTACCTTGTTGGTCGAGCTTTGAGCGAGGGAACGGAACCGCATTTGCTGTGGCTGGTGGGGCAGGTACGGCTGCGACTGTGGCTGGTATGTAGACTGCAGCAGGTATGGCGACTGGTGCTGTTGGTGTAGCTGTTGCTTGCGCTTCTTCTTTTCAAGCTGAGGGCAATGGGTGATGGCGTGAGCAGCATCCTTGTAATTGCGTCAGGAAGTGGTAGACGTAATCGAATGAGGCTTGGAGGATCCAGGTTGAACGACATAAGCACCATCAGTAGGGAGCAACGGATTCTTTGTTGCATGGTCCCACTCAGCATCCACAAGACGTCCCTCGAGCCACTCAAGGGTCATATCCTTTGTTTCTTTGACCGAGCAAAGCGTTTCAGTAAGCGTGTCGTGTCAGAATCCCAACCATTAGACCATTGGGATAAAAAAGGCTTGCTTCAGTAGCGGGTCAGTGCGCCCATAATCCCCCAGGTGAACGCGCCTATAACCCTCTCCAGGATCAATTGGGTATCCACAGTGCAGATCTACTGACACCCCCCCACACTGGGAGGCCCAGGACTAAGCACAGCGGCAACGGCCTACATGTGCATACACCGGGAATCGAACGTGAGACCGCTCTGATACCATGTCAGAATCCCAGCCATTAGACCATTGGGATAAACGGGCTTGTTTCAGTATCGGGTCAGTGCGCCCATAACCCCCCAGGCGAACGCGTCTGTAACCCTCTTCAGGATCAATCGGGTATCCACAATGCAGATCTACTGACATGTCGTAAGACTGAGGAAGACCCAAAAGGATTGATGTGATGGTCAACCAAGAGGGTAGACTATAGCCGCTGGTCTGGAGTTGCAGGTCAAGACCGTGAACATGGTCAAAGTAGGCACGGACAGACTGGCAAGGGTCCATGTGGACAGAGAAGAGCTGACGCAGCAAGTCGAATTGAGCTTGATTGCCGGTTTTTGGCAAATTTCTTGTTGAGAAGAGCCCACAACCCGGCAACAGTCTCGGTTGGAGAAATAGGCATCGAGAGCTGGGTGGGAAGCGTGGAGAGAAGGTACAGCAAGGCGCGCTGTTCTTGTTCTGCTGCTGCAAGGGCAAGGGTAGTAGCAGCTGGGCGAGCCGGGTTGGATGGAGCTACTGGCGCAGCATCTGCCGTGGAGGCCGGAGCATTGGTAGAGGAAGAGGCGGGTGAGGATGTGAGCGTGGAATCACCAAGAGCGTCGACGATGCCCACAATTTGGAAGGTGAGGACCACCATCCGCTTCCAATGATTGAAGTTGGAGCCATCAGGGAGGAGGGAGGGCAAAGTGAGCCTCCCCAAATGACTGTCCACTGTAGTCATAGTTAAGATGAACAAAAAAAGGTTGTTTGATGGCTAAACGCTGAAAACGAAGTACAGCCAATGGTCCATAGATATGGAGGAAAACCAGCAATGCTTCTAAAAGGTCTATTGTAGTGCAGTAGAGGCTGACCAACGGAGGCTCAGCTATAGCTCTGATATAATGTAGATAATCAGACCTATGTGCACAATGTGCACTAGGAGAAGCTGGTTCTGAAATGTTGAAAAGGGTCTACAAACAGAAAGTTAATTGAAGTGATGAATACAAGCAAAACAAAAGCTAAAATGGGCAGAAAATGAAGAGAGCTACCTTGGAGGCGACTTGGGCTGGTCCAAGAGAGGAATTTGGTACCCAAGGGATTTGGGGTGGCCAAATGGGTGCTCAAGTCGCCCACAGTCAAGATGGGGACTCGAGGGACCCTCAAAGTGGGCCTGGAAGCGCCCTCTCTAGTGGAACCGCGATTCCACGAATTGGAAACGCGAATTCCAAGCTGGAGCCGCGTTTCCAATGTTGAAATTCGTGGGTCCAGGCTGGAGCCGCGTCCCCAAGGTTGGGAAACGTGTTGGGGTGCCCTAAAGCCGAATTTGGGGTGCCTAGCACTTGATAAAGTCACTCAGGGGGCACCCTATAACTAAAATAACCCAACCCCTATTGTCTACACTATTATGATGTAAGCAAATACATACAAACCATAAAACAAATTAGTGAACTAACCTTCAGCATAATTAAAGGAAAATAAGTACCCAACAACACCATCCCCCACTGTTTCTTCATGCCCCACTGTTTCACCATCCCCCACTGTTTCCCCATGCCCCACTGTTTCCCTATCCCCCACTGTTTTACATGCCCCACTGTTTCCCCATCCCCCACTGTTCACTCCACGGTTTCCCCATCCCTCACTGTGCACCCCACTGTTTCCACATCCCCCGCTGTTCATCCTCCGCTCCCCGCACTCACCATCCCCCACTTCTCCCTTGTACTCACCTTCCCCTGTCAGAAAAGCCTCATAACTCACACCTTAGTGACCTAGGGTCTAGCTTGGAAGGGTGAGTATCGAGAGAGTTGTTTGGTAAGCAAAAGAGGAATGCACTATGGAGTGACAAGTTCAAATAGGCAGGAACAATGGTGCACCACCAACAATGAAGAAATAACTACACTATACCTTCAAACGATTATATAAAATATGCAAACATATTTTCACACGCCCCCATGATTGTTTGGAGGAGTTAGTGTAAAACACCCCCCGAAGGGATACACCAAGAGTGCAGCGGAAATAGCAAAGGGCAATTTGAGGAGAAAGCGGCTGATGCTGCAGTTAGAGTCAAACCACCCCCTCAAACCCCCCAACAACAGCAGCAGTGGCACTGAGGAGAGAGAGGAGGCGTGGCGGCAGTTGCTGCAGTTGGGTCACGCCCTCAACCCCCCCCCAACTGCTGCACACGCAGCAAGGAGAGGGAGGAGGCTGACGCTGTAGGTGCAGCCTCCCCTTCACACCTTCCGGCCCCCCCCCCTCCCCCCCCCCTTCCCCCCCAAAACTACTGCACGAGCAGCAAGGAGAGGGGGGAGAATTGGTGGGGCGGAATAGGGGCTGCTCTGCGGCTGCAGATGCACACGCAGTGGGGAGAAGTCGCGCGCACTGCAGTTGCCACGCACTGCAGCAGGGCACACGGGGCGCGCGGCTGATAGAAACCGACGCGCGCCCAGAGCGCGCATCGGGCAGGAACCGACGTGCGCAACGGGCGCGCGACGGGCAGGATAAAACGAGAGATCCGCGGTGGGCCCATGGGGTGGTTAAAAACAACAGGGCAGGATCTTACGTGCTCTGATAGCATGTCAGAAAAGCCTCATAACTCACACCTTAGTAACCTAGGGTTAAGCTAGGAAGGGTGAGTATCGAGAGAGTTGTTTGGCAAGCAAAAGAGGAATGCACTATGGATTGATAAGTTCAAATAGGCAGGAACAATGGTGCACCACTAGCAATGAAGCAATAACTACACTACACCTTCAAACGATTATAAAAAATATGCAAACATATTTTGACATCCCCCACTGCTCCCCTCTATTAGGGTTTAGGGTTCTCCGCCAGATCTCCTCGTGCAGGCTGCCCTGCAAGAAAGCAGTGCTGAAGTCGAGAGAGTGCAGCTCGTAGTCACGGTGAGCAGCAACGTGCAGCAGTACCCGAAGAGTGGTCATCTTCGGGGTGGGGGAGAAGGTCTGAAAGTAGTCAACTCCCTGCCGCTGACTGAAGCCACGAGCCACGTAACGCGCCTTGAAGACAGGCGGAGAACCCGGCGGCCGCTTCACCCTGAAGATCCACATGCCACTGACGATGTTTGCCCCATGAGGGGGAACAGCGTCAACGTAGGTGCCTGTGGACTTCCAGGAAGCTATCTCTGCATCCATAGCTGCCTGCCACTGAGAGGAGTAGGGACCCTCTATCGCCTCCGCGTAACAGCGCGGAGTCGGAATGTCTAGTGCATCCGGGTCTCCCTCAGGGGCGAGCAGAACAGACGCGAGATGAGGTGAAGCGGCGGCCAGACACTGGAACTCCTGCTGCCTGTCCTCAAGGACGTCCGTGCCTAGGGCACACTAACCCCCGGCGGACGGAGGATAGGCAGACTCAGACTCAGCGACAAGACTAGCAGCGTAGTCTAGACGACAGCGCGCATCAAAGTCGACAAGCTCAGTGACAAGGGCAGACGCAGCAGAAGACTCGAAGGAAGGGTCAGTGACAGCAGTAGCAAGGAGACGCGTGACAGTGGAACTGGCAGCACGAAGAGAGTCCGACTCCGGGTCGGCAAGAGCAGGAAGAGAGGACTCAGGAGGAGAAGGCAAAGGGGCACGCAGAGGAGCAGTGGACGAACGCAGAGACATCCGGTGCGTGCCAGGGACAGGAGGAGGACGCTGACGCGAACTGCGACCACTAGTGCGTGCAGGACGAACAGGCGACGCAGGACGAGACGCAGACTCACGACGCTCAGTAAGTCCTCCAGTCGGACCAGCGTAGGGAGAAGGAGCAGGCAAAGGGGAGGCAGGCTGTAGCTGTGACTTGGACTGGACAGGCTGTGGACCCTCTAAGGGAGGCGGAGGAGGACCAGGAGAAGGTGTAAGACCAAGAACCTGCTGCAGGAGCGGAACGAAGTACGGCCGGGGCCGCGTGGCGACGCCAGAAACAACAGGGACAGCACCAGTACCCCAAGCAGGAGTACCCGCTCCAGCAGCACCTCCAGCAGCACCTCCAGCAGCACCTCCAGCAGCACCAGGAGCACTGCCAGCGCTTCGGACATCTCAACGGCCACAGCTTGCAGCAGCTTCATTCCAAACAGATGGTCAGCGGCATCAGCCTCAACGGTTCTTTACCTTCCACTTGCATTTCATGCCTTCGTGGGAAGCAGACCCGCCAGCCATTTCCAAACTCTACCTCGTCTAGCTCAGCCCCACTTGACCTGGTTCATACTGAGTCCCACACGTCCTTGCACTCACCTCAGACCACATGCCCCCATGCACCCCCTCTGTGCTCCACTCACTCACCGCATGCCTCCTTGAGTCGGTCTAGAGCCACTGAGTCCCACACGTCCTTGCACTCACCTCAGACCACATGCCCCCATGCACCCCCTCTGTGCTCCACTCACTCACCACATGCCTCCTTGAGTCGGTCTAGAGCCACTGAGTCCCACACGTCCTTGCACTCACCTCAGACCACATGCCCCCATGCACCCCCTCTGTGCTCCACTCACTCACCACATGCCTCCTTGAGTCGGTCTAGAGCCACTGAGTCCCACACGTCCTTGCACTCACCTCAGACCACATGCCCCCATGCACCCCCTCTGTGCTCCACTCACTCACCACATGCCTCCTTGAGTCGGTCTAGAGCCACTGAGTCCCACACGACCTTGCACTCACCTCATACCACATGCCCCCATGCACCCCCTCTGTGCTCCACTCACTCACCACATGCCTCCTTGAGTCGGTCTAGAGCCACTGAGTCCCACACGTCCTTGCACTCGCCTCAAACCACATGCCCCCATGCACCCCCTCTGTGCTCCACTCACTCACCACATGCCTCCTTGAGTCGGTCTAGAGCCACTGAGTCCCACACGTCCTTGCACTCGCCTCAGACCACATGCCCCCATGCACCCCCTCTGTGCTCCACTCACTCACCACATGCCTCCTTGAGTCGGTCTAGAGCCACTGAGTCCCACACGTCCTTGCACTCACCTCAGACCACATGCCCCCATGCACCCCCTCTGTGCTCCACTTACTCACCACATGCCTCCTTGAGTCGGTCTAGAGCCACTGAGTCCCGCACGTCCTTGCACTCACCTCAGACCACATGCCCCCATGCGCCCCCTCTGTGCTCCACTCACTCACCACATGCCTCCTTGAGTCGGTCTAGAGCCACTGAGTCCCGCACGTCCTTGCACTCACCTCAGACCACATGCCCCCATGCACCCCCTCTGTGCTCCACTCACTCACCACATGCCTCCTTGAGTCAGTCTAGAGCCACTGAGTCCCACACGTCCTTGCACTCACCTCAGACCACATGCCCCCATGCACCCCCTCTGTGCTCCACTCACTCACCACATGCCTCCTTGAGTCGGTCTATAGCCACTGAGTCCCACACGTCCTTGCACTCACCTCAGACCACATGCCCCCATGCACCCCCTCTGTGCTCCACTCACTCACCACATGCCTCCTTGAGTCGGTCTATAGCCACTGAGTCCCACACGTCCTGAGGAAGCAAGACATCAAGGGCATGGCAAAAGAGGTGTGGTGGGGTGGGGGGGGGGGGAAGGGGGGTGAGAATCATGGAAGGAGGGTCATGAAGGCCCAGATCCGCCAGGCATGCTGTGGACACCCCGAGTTGTTTCGAGACGTCTCAAAACAACACTTTATCAGGGGGGTTGTGAAGGCTCAGATCCGCCAGGCATGCCGTGGACACTCCGAGTTTGGCAGCAATGGAAAAAATGCCAATCTACGACGGAACAACAACGGAGGAAGATGGTACTTGGAAATAGTACCTTGGTGAGTGTGAAGGCCCGCTGCAGATCCAGCTCCAGTGTGTGGTATGACCCTAGCTGCGATGACGGGAGCAGATGAGATGAGAGCAGCGTGAGAGAGGCATAGCTGATTACAAACGACCACGTTGCAGATCCAGCTCCAGTGTGTGTGTGATATGACCCCAGCTGCCGTGTAGGGGTTTAGCCAACCACACGAGAGAGCGGCATGAGAACACTTTTGAGGCGCCTCAAAAGTCCCCAGCTGCCGTGTAGGGGTTTAGCAACCACACAAGAGAGCGGCATGAGAACAGCGTATGGGCAGATGTGTTGTGTAGGGAGCAGATGAGAGCAGAACAGCGTAAGGGCAGATATGGGCAAGAGAGGACAGTTATGTGTGTGACACAACACTCACACACTCGTTTCACACCCGTTTACTCTTCACTCGTTTTCAGCAAGACTCCCCTCACCTTCACATGCTCAGTCTCAGTAATGTTTTTCCCGCGAACTCGAATGACGTGTGCCGATGCGTCGAAATCGACTTCCTGTTAAATAACAGTTGGAAGGGGCGGATCAATCATGAAAAGCAGGTAGAAACAAAATTGAATGACACGCACTTTAGAAACACAAGAAAAATCGATACGTAAAAGCCATTACCACCCTGCTACAATACAATGTATGCCCCCAGGTTACTTTCTAACCCCACAACCGCCCTCCCCTCTCACCTCACCTCCACTTCCACTTCCAGCCTCAATTTGATCCGCTCAGACTAACTGCTGCCTCTCAACCCCACCCCCACAGCTCCTCTCATCTCCCTCCCTGACCTTATCCCAAAACCTGCTATCCTCACTCTATGGTCACTCTCACCCACCACCCTCCTCTCTCTCACCTCCACTGCCACTTCCACCCTCAATTTCATCCGCTCAGACTCACTGCTGCCTCTCAACCCCACCCCCACAGCTCCTCTCATCTCCCTCCCTGACCTTATCCCAAAACCTGCTATCCTCACTATATGGTCACTCTCACCCACCACCCTCCTCTCTCTCACCTCCACTGCCACTTCCACCCTCAATTTCATCCGCTCCGACTCACTGCTGTCTCTCAACACCCCATAGCCTTGCCTTCTCCCTCTCCGTCCTGACCTTAATCCAACACCTGTTATCCTCGCTCTAGTGTCTTTCTCACCCACCGCCCTCCCCACTCACCTCCACTGTCACTTCCAGCCTCAGCTTGATCCTCTCCGACTCACTGCCGCCCCTTCCCGTCTCCTTCTGCACCTTCCTGGAACCATCCAGCAGGAAGAGGGAGGTAGATTTGTAGGAGGGAGGTAGATTTGTAGGACGGAGGGAGCGAGTGTTGGTTTGGGGAATTTGAGACAGCACATGAGAAGATTACTGAGGTGAGCCACGAGGATTTCTTTCTGCGTTACTTCAGTTCAGGAACTGTACAAAGAACCACCCGACCGAATTTCGAGTCGACTCAAAATGTGAGTCAGTCAGTCAGCGCATGAGAAGTTGATTGAGATGACCCACAAAGATTGCCTGCTGCGTTAGTTCAGGTACTGTAAAGACCACCCGAGCGTTCAGGTATGAGGGTCCATTCAGGTACCTGAGCATCCACCTGAGCACGAACCTGAACGTGGTGCTCTGCACATGGTCATGCGGAGCAATGAGGTTGTACGCATGCCATAGGTCCTCCTCCACTTCAGGTACGATCTGGATTGAGGGAGGGGTTGGGGGGGGAGGGAGGGGGGAAAGGGGGAGGGGAGGACAGAAAGGGGGTTAAGGATAGAAGGACGAGGAATGAGGTTGCACGCATGCCATAGGTCCTCCTCCACCCTCGGGTACGATCTAGGGGGGAGAAGATCGAGGAGGGAAAGGGGAGAGGTGGCAGAGGTTTGCGGGGCGTTTATGAAAGCAGGGAGATAGTAGGAGGAACGTCGGAGGGATCACGACTGTGTGTACGATAACACACCCAATAACATTTCCGAGGAGTCTCTAACACGTGACCATAAGTATCGCATTGCATCCTTAACCATACAACATAATCCTCTTCTCCTTTATATGTGACATGCGAGTACTTCAAAGGGAATCGTCCCATTCTTCCATCACACCTTGGCCACCCCTGGGCCGACTTGCAACCGCACCTAATCCCTCCTGAATGCTCTACAACCTACGAGAACGCGTCCAACCTGATCCTCGTCATTTGTTGCTCATGTCAGTGGATAAACTTGACCATTTCTTCTTCGCTCGCTGTTACAAGTTTGCTAAGTACCATCAAATTCTACACCTCCATTTGCAGCTCGTCACTGCATATGCGTGTGCTGTTCCCTATTTAGCTATGGAGATGTGCAGCAGAACGAGCTTAGCTTAAATGAAGACATCTGTGAGACATTATTGTGAAAGATATTCTCCCAAAGAACAATACTTTCCACTAGATGGATAGACAATCACAAATGGGTAATCTTCTTCAGAATAACCCAACAAACCATACCAATCACGTGTAATAAAGCAGAACAAAAGCGAAATGCAACCCACACAGCACAAAGAGCAGCTCCCAGCCCACCATTCCTAATCAGACTGTCATCTCTAGCTCTAAATGCATCCCATAGTCACCACCTTTCTTCACCCATCCTTCAACTGTCTCTTCCCCATGTTTCCCCCCCTCCACCACACGGCCATTCCAGCAAAAAAAAACTGGACTGATAATCCCCACCTCAATCTAGTCATCACCATCATTATCATCATTGTCCCCGCGTCCTCCCCTCCTCCCTCCCTGCCTGCCCGCACCGCTCCCATTGCAGTTTCCAGAACCAGACCCACTTCCGTTGCAGTTCCCACCTCCCCCACCGCTCCCCCTCATCCCCGCGCCAGCCCCCTTCCCTGCACCTGCGCCAGTGCGTCCAGCCGCTCCCTGCCGCCCCGCCCCTCCGCTCATGCCGCCCGCTCCGCCTGCACGTCCACTACCACCACCACCACCACCACCACCACCACCGACGCCTGCACCTGCGCCTGCGCCACGACCGCGGCCCTGCTGCTGCCCCGACCCCTGCCGACCAGCACCGCTGACGCTGCCATTGCCAGTGCAGCCGCCAGATCGGGAGCACTGGGAGGAACCAGAGCTGGAGCTGGAGCCGTCGCGCTTGCGGTCGCGGTCGCGGTCCTGGTCGCCAGACCCATCCCTCTTGCGATCCCTTTCCCGGTTATCTGCCACCACGTACCCGACGCTCTGAATGCTCGCTGCCGCTGCGTTTCTCCCCGACCCTCCGCCTCCGCCTCCGCCGTTGCACGAGCCAGACCCGCCGCTGCAGTTTCCGCCGCCCTTCTTGCCCTGCCGCACCTTCCCCACGCTGTTGCTGCCGCCCAGCCGCCCGCTACGACCCGCACCCGCACCAGCGCCAGCGCCGCTCCCCGTTCGTCCCGCTCTGCCCCCGCGCCCGCCCGCGCCGCCGCTGCCCTGCCGGCCGGCGCCACTATTTTGTCTTCCGCCGGAGCCGCTGCCGGCGCAGCCGCCGGACTTGCTGCAGGAGCCGTCGCGATCGCGGTCCCTTTCGCGATCCTGGTCGCGGTTGCCGGAGCCGTCCCGCTTGCGATCGCGCTTCGGACGGTCGTCGTCGTCGTCGTCGTCGGCGACGGCGAAAGTCGCGAGGTTGACGACGACGAGCAGGAGGATCCCGAGGGCGAGAAGCTTTGACGAAGCCATCGGTATTCTCAGATGTCCACGGAGGGTAGTGGTATTCTCCGTATATGTAGTAGTGGACACGACAGGCCTACGATAGACACTGAAAAAGAGTTAACCTGCTATTGAGAGTGAGTAGAACGGGTGGATTTGGTCTAAACGATGCTGAGAAACCCGAGAATGGACTCGGGATTTATAGTAGTAGCATTTGGGTGGGAATGGTTTCGAAACTGTGCCGCGGCGGTCATTACCGGGCTGGGCCGCGGTGGTTTCGCCGGGGCTGTCATGTGGTTGTTTCGCCGCGCCCTGGTTTCCGCCGAGTGCGCATCCTACTGGACAGGCGGGCGACACTGGGCCGATGGAGGCGCGAACCTTATCCGCTCGAGTTGAAACAACGCGCGCCGCCGCTGGAAAGCACACGCGACGGGGCGCAGCGCAACACATGAGACAGAACGCGCAACACACATGCCGCGGCGGAACGTGACGTGGCGAGGCGAGGCGACGTCCAGACTTGCACGCGCAACCGAGGCGGAACTCGAGCGAGCCCCCCTCCATCCGCACCGCACCCGGCCCCTCGGCGGAGGCGGCTGTGGGCTAAGCGCTCCGCGAGAGAGAGACTGAGGGCTTGCGCGAGTATGCGCGGTGGGGGGGAAGGGAAAAGGGAGTCTTCCGGCGCTCGGAATTTTTGTCGGAAGCGACGGGTGGAATGGCCTGTCCCCCGACGAGCCGCACACACATGTTGAGTTCCACCCAGGCTGGCTGGCCGCTACTGTACTACTACAGTACTGTCCTGCCAAACAAACCCAGACGAACTCACTCACCGCCTCTCTCCTTCCCTGTCCGCGCTGGATACAACTGCCAATGGCAGGTCGGTCCGTCACGCAACAAAAGCTGTCGGAGGAGTGAGCTGTCAGCTGCCTTGCCCGGCAGTTATCCCCTTGGCAGTGGCTGGTAACCAAACAGCATCTGGTACTATCATAACAGAGGCTTGCTGGCGCACCATGATAGAATCTTTTTACAACACCACACACTCTAAGTGCGCGCTGAGCTGGCGCGCAAGATCCCGGCTAGCAGTGCTGCTTGACTGCGACGCGACGCTACCGAGGCTGCACGGTCGTACAAGCTACGATCGTTTCTGGCGAAGGCTCGCACTCTCAAGGTCTACTCTACTCCCATTTTCCCTCGAAGAAGCAGGAGGTGTGAGGCTTCTGACGAAAGAACTAATAGCTGGCTTCAACGTAATTGGAACAGCTACAAGTGTGGTGTAATTGTAACAGTAAGTGGCTAGCTAGACATACACTAGCCAATATGAAGATATGTTAATTTTTACATTTGATTACAACGCTAGCACTATCAATCTCAATCATACTTACCTTCACACATGCGTTAATGGGAGAATGATGCAGTCGAAGTACCATCATTTACCCCGTATTACTTAACATAGTATATAACGCAGTTATTAACATGGATCACCCAACATAAATATAGTGAAGAACTTAAACAGGCTCGTAACTTATTTTATATTCAATAGGTATCGTTTTTTATGAAGCAATATCTTTTTACCTACACCCAGCCCACGTTAGGTTGCCTCGCTGAGCGCAGTTTCCTACGAAGCACCCTTCCAGCAAAAAGCCTCAAGTTTCCAGCAAGGATTCGTCTTTCGCGAACAGCAACTCACGCTCGCGACGAGCACCACTTCCAACGGCAACGTTTGCTAGCTTCAAGACTGCAAGAGGAGCCTTCGCCAGAAAATACCATTATGTTGACCAATGGGAGAGGAGTTAGCTAAGAGATCTGGTTACTTTTTCTGGCTTTGGCGCGTGCGACTCGAGGCTGGGGGGTTGTATTCTAAAGCTATTTCCACGGTAACCTCCTTGCGCGCAGCCGCCTATTCACCCCCCCCCCCCCCCCCCCTCGCGCCCCTTTTCCCGTTCGCCACAGTCTCCCTGATGCGGCATCGTAGCTCAGAAGTGTGTGGGAGTGCGCCCCGGAGCAGGTTCGCGACTCGTCGTCGGTCGTCGACGTCATATGAAATAGCCTTGTACTATAAATATCATCTCGTCCCGTCCAAGTCCCTCATCATCCAGAAGCGTATCATTCCACCAAAGTCTCACACTCAAATCTGCAAATTGCAACCACTGTGACACAGCTTCCCCGGACATTGGCGGCCGTCGTTAAATCCTACCGTCTATCTCCGACAACTTGAACGGCGACCGCTACTTGGCACTTCAGAGCCATCCATTGGAGCCAGTTGGCGTCGGCTTTACCAAGTGGAGCTTATTATCATAGTACTTTATTACCATAAATTCATCCCCCCCTACCCGGCGATGGTACATCGATCGATGGCTTCGTCGAAGCTTCTCGCCCTCGGGATCGTCCTGCTCCTCCTCATCAACCTCGCGACCTTCGCCGTCGCCGACGTCGACGACGACGACCGCCCGAAGCGCGAGAGAGAGCGCAAGAGGGACGGCTCGGGCAACCGGGACCAGGATTGCAACAGGGACCGCGACCGTGACAGGTCCTGCGGCAAGTCTGGCGGCACGCAAAAAGCTGGCGCCGGCCGGCAGGGCGGCGGCGGCGGGGGAAGCGTCGATGGCGCGGGTGCGGGTTGTGGTGGGCGGCTAGGCGGCAGCAACAACGGCAAAAACGGCGATGGCGCGGGTGCGGGTCGTGGCGGGCAGCTGGGCGGCAGCAACAGAGCGGGGAAGGTGTGGCAGGGCAAGAAGGGCGGTGGAAACTGTAGTGGCGGGTCCGGCTCGTGCAACGGCGGGGGCGGAGGCGAAGGGTCGGGGAGAAACGCGGCGGCGGTGAGCATTCACAGTGCCGTGCTCGGCGGTTGCATGCAGAGCGCGGGGTACGTGGTGGCGGACAACCGGGAGAGGGATCGCAAGAGGGACGGATCTGGCGACCAGGACCGCGACCGCGACCGCAAGCGCGACGGCTTCGGCTCCAGCTCTGGTTCCTTCCAGTGCTCCCGATCTAGCGGCTGCACTGGCAATGGCAGCGGCAGCGGTGCTGGTCGGCAGGGGTCGGGGCAGCAGTAGGGCCGCGGTCGTGGCGCAGGCGCAGGTGCAGGCGTGGGTGGTGGTGGTGGTGGTGGTGGTGGTGGTGGTGGTGGAGGAGGAGGACGTGCAAGCGGAGCGGGCGGCATGAGCGGAGGGGCGGGGCGGCAGGGAGCGGCAGGACGCATGGGTGCAGGCGCAGGGAAGGGGGCTGGCCTAGGGTTGAGGGGGAGCGGTGGGGGAGGCGGAAACTGCAACAGAAGTGGGTCTGGGTCTGGAAACTGCAATGGGAGTGGTGCGGGCAGGAAGGGAGGGAGGATGGGAGGACGTGGGGGCAGTGACGAGAATGACGGTGATGACTAGATTGCGTTGGTGGCCTTTGGAGTGATCTAAGTGCCTGAGAGGGATGGCTATTTGGTGGTGGGGGACCTTGGAGAAGATTCAGCAGCATTTTGGAGCTGGAAGGAAGGGAGTGCTGTGGTGCAGGAATGGAATGCCGGAGTAGTGGGTGTGTGGAGTGGGGGTAACTGTGGAAAGAGATAAGGTAGGTGATGGCCATAGAGATATGACATGACATGATATGGTATCAGCTGATTTGATGGAATGGTTGGGTGGAGGTGGGAAAGGAAGTATTCAATAGTGGTAGCTGGCTGGCAGCCTCACTGGTTGCAATAGGTGGACTGAAAGGAACGAAGCTTACTGGTCCGGTGGTTGCTTAATGCCGTGTGTGAATTGAATCATGTTTTGCCTTAGCTCATCATACCGTATCATGTGCTTGCCTCGGCTTGCCCCTACTAATATCAACCGTTTGTTGAGGCCTAGATTTGCTGCTCAGGGTAGGGGGGCCTATTATATGGTGGTATACAGTATCTGCCTTACTATGTACTAATACAGTACAATAAGAGGATAGAAATATCTAGATGGTTTTCCACTCGCACTTTCAGGCCCATTGGGGGACGAAGAAACCCCATCGCTTTCTAGTAGGTGGTTGTTGTTTGCCTATCAACGCTTGGGTGGCGGTGACAGGGTGCTGTGCTGGGAGAAAGCAGTTTTGGTGGTGTAGGGACGGGACAGGATGGGCTGCTACCGGTATGGAGGTGCTTCAAAGCGGGAGCTAGTTGGGGGGTGGGTGGGATGGGACATGGATTCCAGCCCGTCTTTCAGACATACGGTATTTGAGAAAGGAGAAGCGCCATCGCCACGTAATAAAAGATTTGTTTTGAGACGACTCAAAACAAATATTTTTATCACGTGGGGGGTGGGTCAGATGGGACATGGATTTCAGCCCTTCTTTCATGCATATTTCAGCCCGCATACGGTATCTGAGAAAGGAGAAGCGCCATCGCTTTCTGGGAGGTGGTTGGTGGGTTCTTGCACTTGGGTGGTGGGGGCCAGGGAGAGGGGGGTTTCGGCGGGGGAGGTGGGGGGACGGGTTTCATAGGAGGTGGTTACAAAAGGGGTTTGAAGGGGTTGGGAGGGAAAGAATTCAGCCTGCCAGTCTGGCTCATCTCTGGGAGAAAGAGCGCCATCGCCTCTTGGGAGGTGGTGGGTACTTGCGCTTGGGTGGGGGTGGGCTGGGAGGAGGGAGTTTTGGTGGTGGGGGGCTGGGCTTTCTAGGTGGGCTGGGAGGAGGTTTCAGAGGTATGGGAGGTGGTTTGGGGGGAGGGAATGGAGGGGGCTTGGTGGGAGAAGAGGGAGGGGGTCTTGGTGGGGGAGAAGTTGTGAGTGATTTCAGTGGTGGGGGGCTTGGGGGTGGTCTAGGGGGAGGGGAGGGTGGAGGCTTAGGGGGAGGGGAGGGTGGAGGCCTAGGGGGAGGGGAGGGCGGAGGCCTAGGGGGAGGGGAGGGCGGAGACTTAGGGTGAGGGGAGGGAGGGGGCTTACCAGTGGTTGAAGTCTTGGGAGGGGGGGAAGGAGGGCGAGGGGGAGGGCGTGGGGGAGGGGAAGGAGGAGGGGGTGGCTTGGGGGGATTCGGGGGAGGTCGGGGTGGGGGAGATGGGGGCCCAGGGGGACTTGGGGGGGCCCGGGGGGGAGGTGAGGGTTTTGGGGGAGGCCGTGGGGGGCTTGGAGGGGGACGGGGGGGTGGGCGAGGGGGAGGGGAAGGGGAAGGGTTTGGGAGGGAGGAAGGGGGAGGCATGACAGCCTGGAAGCAGGGGGGGAGGTGGGGGAAGGAGAGGGTCTGATCGAAGTAGGAGAAGAAGAGAGTGTAGGAGGGAGAGGAGACAAAGTTGAGAATGTGAGTGGTGTCAACAGCAGAAGCAGCAGGAGGGGAGGAAGCAGGAGCGGAGGCAGGGGAAGTTGTAGGAGAAGAGGCGGTTGAAAGGGCAGGGGCAGTAGCGGTGGCAGTGGGAGCAGCGGGCAAGGAGGAGAAGGAGGACCAGGTGTTGAAGGGCACGGGCAGCTGAGAGCCGTTGGATCGGAGAGCAGCAGTGGTGAGATTCCAGCAGTGCGACGGCAGCTGCGATGCAAATGACATGTGCGCCTACCCCCCTGCTGCCGCTGGCGCGAGGGCAGACCTGCAGGATCAGAAAACAAGCAGGAGGGGGCAAGGAATTGAGAAGGCAGGTGAGGAGGCAGAAGTGAGACAAAGGACATGTGGATCCCAACCTCCTGGTACCACTGTTGCTAGAGGGAGGGCAGACCCGGAAGCATGGCAAGGAGCAGGGCAGGTTGAGTGGATGAGACTTTTCACACGTTTCTCACATTATTGATCCTATTACTCAAGCGTTAATTTCACGCTCTGCTGCCCTTCTAATATTAGTCAAGAAGACCCTTGGGATGGCACATCTGGAAGCATGGCAAGGAGTAGGGCAGGTTGAGTGGATGAGAGGCTTCTGGAGCTGGAAAATCTAAATCGGGAGGTTCTGACTCGGGGAAAGTGGTTTTATTTCCCTTACAACCGTTCACGTGGCGCGGGTCGCAACAGCACCGCGCGCTCATGGTTCCCCAGCTCACGTGGCAGATGAGCGACGAGAAGAACGTGATCTGCGCCGCGGACCGAGCGCCATGCTCGTTTCGGAAACTTGGTTAGAAAATTGCTTCCGCACTCCGCCCTTGCTTGTTCCGACCTTGCTCGGTCCGGCCTTGCCCGTTCTGCCCTTCCTTCTTGTTCAGCCCTTCCTCATCCCATCATGCGTTTCCCCTCATCCCATCATCCATTTCCCCTCATTCCATCATCCGTTTCCCCTCATCCCATTAGAGTCTTTTCACACATTTTTCACATTAGAAACTTCTCCTTCATCAGAAAAATGTAAAAGGCGTATTGTGTTGTAAACGCCTTCTTGTGCCTCATTTGTGCTGTGGTTACCGTGGTTGACCCCCCCGGAAATAAACCACCAAGGGTATTGCCCTTTGTGTTTGGAAAACGGGGGGGTGTCACAACCAGCATATATCCCCGATTGTTCCGCTACAGTTTCCGAGCGTGAACCGGGGTTGACTGGGTTTGGGTGGTAGTTTACGACAGTTCGCGAAAGGGGAAGGTTGAGTGGGAAACGAGCTGAGGGGTCAACCGCGATCCACGTCACCCCCAATATCTGGCGAGTTGGTGGTATTAAACGGCTGCAGACGACCGTTTACGATCGTCAAAGTGGTGGAATACGAAAAACGTGTTGAGAGAATGAGTGCACTATGAAAATGAAACAAGTACAAGTACCAACCCTGATTGGGTTGTACCCACTATGGGCTACCCCACTACAGCCTAAATATATGCATCAGTAATATGATCATCTGACACACCCCCATAGGCAAAGTGGGGGAGAGCAAGGGGTCACAAGACCAGTCAAGCAAAGCAAAGCGAAGCAAAGCAAGCTCAGGGTGGATCTCAAGGATACCACACAAATTCCGAGCACAAGGTCAAGGCCACAGGGCCAGTTCACATGTAGCCTAGTCGTCAGCCCAAGAAGCGTCTGAGTGCCCAGTGAGAACAGGCCGGTCTCGCCCTCCAAGCACTAGCCCCATGCCCGACGTACTGCACAAGTAGCGCAACACCCTCTTAGCTGCATCCATGTGCTCCTTCCGGTGACGGCCGGGAGCAACATAGCGTGCTAAGATGCTGAGAGGGTATGCGAGGTCAGGTCGAGTGCAAGTCATCAGGTACATGAGGCAGCCCACAAGCTCTGGATACGGACCACTCGACTCTACGGACTCATCCGAAGGCAGAGCTGAGAGCGAGTGTCCCGTAGGCAGAGGAGTGGACTGAGGTGAGGAGTACGTGAAGCTGAAGCGCTGAAGGACCTGCTGCACCATGTGTGACTGAGTCAGGGTAATGGTGCGGCGTGCTCTGTCCCGGGTGATTCGCAAGCCAAGATAGCTTGTCAGTTCACCCAGCTCTGTGCACGTGTGTCTCTTCTGCAGCTCGGACTTCACGTGGGCGAGTGGGGCAGTGTCCGCAGTGGCAAAGACCAAGTCGTGGACGTACACGAGGATGTAGAACGGCGGCACCGAGGTGTCGGTGCGCAGAAACAGCGACGGGTCAGCAGTAGAAGGAGCAAACCCAAGAGCCGCAAGTGTAGTCCTCAGTGTGTCGTGCCACTCACGCGGCGCCTGGCGGAGACCGTAGACTGGCCGCCGGAGGCTCCAGTGGGTACCAGGAGGGAACAACCCAGTGAAGCCAGGAGGACGGCGCAGCCAGATCTCCTCGTGCAGGCGGCCCTGCAGGAAAGCAGTGCTGAAGTCAAGAGAGTGTAGCTCGTAGTCACGCTGAGCAGCAACGTGCAGTAGAACCCGAAGAGTGGTCATCTTCGGGGTCGGGGAGAAGGTCTGAAAGAAGTCAACTCCCTGTCGCTGACTGAAGCCACGAGCCACGTAGCGCGCCTTGAAGACAGGCGGAGAATCCGGCGGCCGCTTCACCCTGAAGATCCACATGCCACTGACAATGTTCGCCCCAGGAGGGGGAACAGCGTCAACGTAGGTGCCTGTGGACTTCCAGGAGGCCATCTCTGCGTCCATGGCTGACTGCCACTGAGAGGAGTAGGGACCGGCCTTCGCCTCTGCGTAAGAGCGTGGGGTCGGGATGTCTAGAGCATCCGGGTCTCCCTCAGGGGCAACAAGCATGGACACGAGATGGGGCAAAGCGGCGGCAAAGCACTGGAACTCCTCCTGCCTGTCCTCAAGGACGTCCGTGCCAAAAGCACAGCCACCCCCGACGGACGGAGGACAGGCAGACGCAGACGCAGCAGACGCAGACTCAGCAAACTCAGCAACAAGACTGGCAGCGTAGTCCAGACGACACGCAGCAGCAAAGTCGACCAGCTCAGCAACTAGGGCAGACGCAGCAGTGGACTCAAAGGAAGGGTCAGTGACAAGAGTAGCAAGAAGACGCGTGACAGTAGGACTGGCAGCACGATGAGAGTCCGACTCCGGGTCGGCAAGAGTAGGAAGAGAAGATTGAGGAGGAGAAGGCAAAGGGGCACGCAGAGGAGCAGTGGACGGACGCAGAGACATCTGGTGCGTGCCAGGGACAGGAGGAGGACGCTGACGCGAAGCGCGACCACTAGTGCGAGCAGCTCGGACTGGCGACACAGGGCGGGACGCAGGCTCACGACGCTCAGCAAGACCTCCAGTAGGACCAGCGTAGGGAGAAGGAGAAGGCAGAGGAGAGGCGGGCTGTAACTGTGACCGCAACGGGACAGGCTGCGGACACTCTACGGGAGGAGAAGGACCAGTGGAAGGCGGGAGACCAAGAACCTGCTGAAGGAGCGGAGCGAAGTACGGCCGAGGCCGCGCAGCACCGCCAGAGACAGCAGAGACAGCACCAACACCTCCAGAGGCAGCACCAGCACCAGTAGCAGCTCCAACTCCAGCACCACCAGCAGCTGCAGATTTACCCGCAGTAGGACCGACAGTCGTAGCCTCAGCGCCAGCACCCGCAGCAGCTCCAGCTCTAGAGGCACCCCCGGGCCCGGCAGCTCCAGCACCCTCAGTACGAGCACCTCCGAAACCCGTGGTACCAGCTCACTCGGCAGCAACGGAACCTCCAGCACCCGCAGTACCCCCGGCTCCAGCAGCTCGCCTCCAGCGCCGGGCAAACCACTCACGCAGCTCCAGTGGAGAGAGCGGCTCGCGGCGCGAAGAACGGTCTGGAGAACCACCAGGAACAGAAGCAGCAGGCGCAGCACTCCCAGACGCAGAACCCCCAGGCTCAGCACCCCCAGGCACAGCACCCCCAGGCTCAGCACCCGCAGGCTCAGCACCCCCAGTCACAGCACCCCCAGGCTCAGTACCCCCAGGCTCAGCAGTCCCCGGCTCAGCACCCCCAGTCGCAGCACCCCCAGGCTCAGTACCCCCAGGCTCAGCACCCCCAGTCTCAGCACCCCCAGTCTCAGCACCTCTAGGCTCCGCACCCGCAGCAGCACCAGAGTCACCAGTGACCTCGACAGGCTCGACCGCGTCTACCTGAGACACACGTGAAGGGGCAGGATCCTGAGGGGGGAGGGGGTCTTCCGGAGGGGGACCTGGGACCAGGAAGAGGGGCGGGGGGGGGGAGCGACGGAGTGCGGTAGGGGAAGAGCCGGTAGAAGGGAACCGACTCGTCGAACGTGACGTCCTGGGAGGACAGAACACGACGAGAGGTGGGGTGGTAAAACTGCCACCCAGGTGCGTCAAGGGGGAAACCCAGGAAGACGCAAGGAGTAGCACGAGGGGACAGCTTGTCCGCAGACAAGTCGCGGACAAACGCCCGAGATCCCCAGACACGGAACGCCGACGCATCGCCAACCTTCCCCGTCCACAGCAAAGCTGGGGAGGTCTCCGGTCTGGAGACCCTGGGCTGAAGGTTGATCTGATGTGCGGCGTACCGAACCGCAAACGGCCACAGAAAATGGGGGGCAGCCGCATGCACCATGGACGTACGGGCGACGTCCATGACAATGCGGATGCGGCGCTCAGCAATCCCATTCTGCTGTGGAGAGTCCGGAAGCGTGAAGGTCTGGCGGATGCCTTGTGCTTGACAGTAGGCTCGCAGAAGGCCGGAGGAGAACTCTCCGCCTCTGTCCGAGTGCAGACGCAAAACAGGAAAGTCCGAGCTGAAGCTCCGCCTGAGCTGGAGACGAGCTGCGCGGATCCAGTCGATCAACACCTCAGTGACCTCACCCTTGCTGCGCAAGGGGAAGACTGTGGTGTAACGCGAGTAGTCGTCAACCACCAGCAGGAAGTAGCGCTCGTGACCCTGTCCACGGACGCGGGCTGGGCCCCACACGTCCATGTGAAGCGTCTGCATCGGGGCCTCCGTCGGAGGAAACGGGGAGGAGTGAGGTGTTGCCCGCAGGGGACCCTCGACACAGGGGACACAGGGAGGGCCAGGTCCAGAAGGAAGAGGAGGGAGGGACCGGGGAAGGCCAGAGACAAGAAGGCGAGAGGCCATGCCCCGGAGACGAGGCAGGGAGGGGTGACCCATCCTGTGGTGCCACAGGAGGGTCTCGTGGGACAGGAGGCGACACGAGCAGGGGGCAGACTCAGGACTAGACCTGGACGCTGTAG